GGTCGGCTGCAGTGTCCAGCTGGTCTGGAGCAAGCTTCCCGGGCTGAGCGTAGGACAGCCGGGCTGGAGGGAAGAGAAGCAGCTTCCTGGCCAGCTGGCCATGGCGCTCAGCCAGGGTGCAGCAAGCTCCATGTGGGCAGGCACAGAGGGGAAGCCGCCCGATCCGCTGGAGTGCAGTTCAGCCTTCTCTGGGCTGAAGGCCACAGCCAGCTGGCCAGGCAGCTTCTCCTCTGCGCCAGCCCATGTGGAGCGTGGTGCACCCTCGCTGAGCTTCAAGGAAGGGGTGGGGCAGTAGATCTTGGCTTGGTCTGTCATTTAAAAAAGTGATCTTGGGTGTAAAGGTTGGAGACCACTGGTCTAGTGTTTCTCCCCTTCTGGTCCCCGCCCGGAGCTGTGAAGAGATGATGTCTCCAGGGGTGGCTTCTCTGGGTGAAAGCAGTGTCCACTGGGTGGAAATATACAATGAGGAGGGAGTCCAAGGGCAGGATGGCACAGTGTTGAGTATGGGCTAATCCAGTGTTTCTCACTTTTTTTATAAAGTACCCCTTTTAAAAAAAATTAAGTACCCCCAGTACAAACAGTTTTCAGACTTTTTTTTCTACCATTGCAACACATTTGTTTAAACAACTTAATCGCAGCAGAGCGAGTGATAATTTTGGGGTGTAAAAAGTACAAAAATAATAAAGTGCTGTAAAAGTAACAAAAATTCAGTCTTCTCCAAATTTCAGTTGTGTGGTCGTAGCCCTCAGACTTGAGTGCCTCTAAGGGTACTCGTACCACTGGCTGAGAAACACTAGACAAGCTCTACGTCCGGGCCCTTTGGTGGATTCGCTGGTGTTTGGTGAGGGAATCTTTCCGCCGAAAGCGCTTCCCGCACTCCAAGCAGGCGAAGGGCCGCTCGTCCGTGTGGATCCGGAGGTGAGACACCATCTGCTGCTTCTGCCGGAAGCATTTCCCACACTCCGGGCAGGCATACGGCTTCTCGTCCGTGTGGATTCTCTGGTGTCTCTTCATCTTCTGCTTCTCCCTGAAGCGGAGCGGGCACTCGGGGCAGGGGAAGGGTTTCTCGTCGGTGTGGATTTTCTGGTGTATCATCATCTCCTGTCTGCGCCGGAAGCTTTTCCCACAGACAGGACAGGTGTAGGGCCTCTCCCCGGTGTGGATCCGGAGGTGCGTCACCAGGTTGGGGCTTTGGTTAAAACTCTTCCCACACTGGGGGCACTTGTAGGTGTGCCTGGAAGTCCTGCTGGTGAGCAAAGACGGCCTTGCACTTGGAGCAAGAGAAGATCCTCCCTTTGGCCTGTTTCCCCTCAGGGCCTCCCTCTCTTCTGTGTATTTTCTCGTGGACCCTGAGTGCCTGCTTCCAGCGGAAACTCTTGGAGCACTGTGGGCAGGAGTAGGGCCGCTCCCCGGTGTGGATCCGGCAATGGGACACCAGCTGCTGCTTCTGCCGGAAGCTCTTGCCGCAGGTGGTGCAGGGGTACGGCCGCTCCCCTCGGTGCATCTTCTGGGGGGTGCAGAGGGTTGCCGGCTGGCGG